ATACTTTGCTGATATTTTTTACTGCTCCACAAAATCTGTAATCAACCAATTCATGATCACGTCACCACAGAGTGCCAAAGAACAAAAATTATGTATTATATATCATATATTATATATTATATAATATATATCATATACGTATTATGCAGACAAAAGTTTTAAGTATTCTAAATGAAATAGATGCCAATTTAGAAATTTATTTATTATTTAGTAAATATTTTTTCTAAAAGCAACATACGCTCCCATAAATTTAATTATCAAAATTTTGACTATTTGACATAACGGAAAATTATTGACATAACGGTAAAATTTGTATTACATATAAAATTTTACGATTACTGCCAATAATTTTCATGTTATCTTTATGCTGCACAAAATTATAAAATGACAAAATGAATAAATTTTATTTCAAATATGCTTTTAAAAAAATTAAATAAAAACAATTTACAAATAAATTTTTACTTTTGTTTTTATTTTCTATCTTTTCATCTTCATCACCTGCAATTAATTTTATACTGTAAATACACGTATACGTACCGAAAATCACCTGGTTTTTATACGCTATATTAAACAACATCATGTATAATAAATCGTGTTTTTTATTTTTCATTTTATAATTTTTTTTCTTTTTGTGCATTAAAAGTGAAAATAGAAATGAAAAGAAGAAGAAAATAAAAGACATTGCCGTCAAAATGAATTTTTGGTATGTCAGAGTCTGACAAATGATATCTTCTATCAAATGATATAAAACGTCAAGTTGCTTTCTACCATACAGTTTTTTTGATAATTAAACATATATGTGCTTATGTAAATGCATAAACATACTCGTATGTATATATATATGCATTTGTATAATTTGTATGGTATACACTCTTATTCTACATAATAGTATAACCCATAATTAATAATATTATAATATGAAATATATAAAAACAAAAAAACTTGGATTTACAAAAATATAATATCAATTGAATATACTAATTTTTATAAAGAAAATTATCCGTTATAACTTATTCATGCAAGTACATGCTTATAATTTAAAAAAAAAATTTTTAATGAAGCTTGAACTTTTAATTTAATGCTATACATGAACATTATATGTATGTGTACATTGCTATAATAAATAAATATTATTAAAAGCTAGCTGAACAGTTGGGTTTCAATATAATACGAATGTATACAAAATACATGGGTGACTTCCAAAATACAATATAAAAAATTTCAATACAGTTTAAAAACTTGTTTGGCGTAAATATTGTTATTTTCTCGTAAGATAATGGCTGACAGTGACATAGCCCCTATGTATTTATCAAATTATCTCGGCGAAAATTGTTTCAATATGAATTCATTTCCCTTCATCACAGTGAGAGTAACTCAAGCTTAAACAAAAAAATTTAGTACGACCATTCTCTCTGAATTGCTTGTTACGTCTAATTATTTCTTTCGTAGACTTTTTGAGGTTATGTTTACTACGAACGTAATTTATGATTACTCCATTACGAATATTCAGAGCAGAATTGACAATATGATACTCGTAGTTTCACAATTATGAATTGAGAATAAATAATTCTAATTCACCATTTTAAAATTAAATTTGGAAGCATCTAACTCTTATTTACTTAGCATTTTAAAATTCAAAATCTTTTCAAAGAAATCCTCAATTTTATACAAAGTCTGTACAATAATATATTTATAATAGAACACACATATACACATAAATTTTAAAATATGCATATATACACATAAATGACAATTACCTTTATATCTAAATACGATAATATACTTAAAATATTATTGTTAAATTAAAAAGAAAAAAAAAACCATTAACAACAACTTTTAAGTGTAGGTAAATGAACGAGTCATATATATAGGTACATAATATTATGTATAGATACCAGTTTCCATTCATTCATCCAAAAATGGGTGTAATAGAGCACAATCAAAAACAAAAAAAAAAATAAGAAAAAACAAGAAAAATTAACGAAAAATCAAAAATGCTGTTATAATAATATATTTACCGTTTATCCATATTTTATACATGAATACACACACATACATTTTCACATTTTTATAATAGTATAATAATGCATACATGCATTTAAAACTCTCAACGGTAAATTATTGAGAAAAAGCAAAAAAAAAATTAAAATTTATATTTTTGTCAGTCCAAACAATACCACATTTTTTCTGTTTTTTTTTTTAATTTTTGCGTTTTTTTGTTTTTCTATTTAATGAGTTATAACATATGCACATATATTTATACTAATGCTATAGAATTTTGCAATATTAACAAAAAAGTCCTACCATATCTCATAATTAAATATACAAAAAACAGGCAAAATCATGAACAAACATTTATAAACTTACGTCAAAATCTTATGCATATGTATATACATATATAAATGTATGTAATAACTTGCCTGTATATAGTAGTTAAATGGCTTTGAAAAATATTTTTATAAGAAAATTTTCAATTCAAATTCTATTTGTATTTTAATTTCATTTATAAAATCCTGCTCACAATTTAAAAATTTAACACTTAAGTTAATTTTAAAATATACACAAATATGTAGGCTTCTATTATAAGATTAAATGCAAACGGGGATATGGTAACACTCTAAACAAAAAAGAATTATTTTATATCTTGAACTTTTATAATTTTATTAAAATTTTTCATTATAGTAAATAACATTTTAAATATTGTAAATTTATAAGTGTATGAACGAAAACTATATGACTACTCGTTAATTGTAAGTATGTAGATCTGTATCTAGAGCTATACTCTACAGTTCCTGAACTACGATAACATTAAGTAATGTTCATAAAATTTGTCTTATTGTGAATTTAACTATATAAGGTACAATTATCATAAATACAAAGCATAAATCATGAAAAATTTCTAGAAAAATTCTATTGTCATCTTCAAGAGGGCGTATAAAATATTCTGAAAATTTTCAAAACAAAAAATTTTTTTATAATTTGAACATTGAAAATAATTCAAAATTGTGAATTGAATTCCTTCATAAATTCTCAAAATACAAGTTCTTTTTCTCCTCTCTAACATTTTTTTCAAATTGGCTATAGCATTTCTTTATTTTTTTTTTCATAATTCAATGTTTCGAACTAATTTTTTTTTTTTTATAATTAAATATCATAAAATTTATTTTCTTTTAATATAATATAAACAAAAACAAATTGTTTTTTTTTTATAGGTCTTAAATGCCACTTCGCATCATTTTGTTTGTATTGCACATTTTAAAAAAAAATTTGGGAGTAAAAAATAAAATTGTAGTTACCAAACTGGTATATATTTATATAGGTACAAACATATGTATGTACAATACTATAGAGTAAATATTGCCTCGCTACACAAAAATTATATTGTTTACCACCATTTTTTTTTTTTAATGAAAACCTTAAATGTATATTGTATAATGATTTTTTATTCTGTGACAAAAAGAAATAATTCTGTAAATTTAAAAATTGAAAATTTCTTATAATGAAAAAAAGGAAAATCTTTAAAAATTCTACCTTAGTATTTAGCTTTGTTCCTAATATTTAATATTAATATTGAATAAATTAAATTGTATTTAAGAATAAATCGAGTTGAAGTTCAGTCTACTACCTACTATAGTACTGTACTATCTACTATAGATTGTATATAATTCGCACTGATTATTTAATATTCCAGAGAAATAGAAATAATTATATTTAAAAAATATTTGAAAAATATAAACTTATTTATTTTTAAATAATATTTTACATATTATAGTAGTTGAGTGGAAACGACAGCTGTTGTCCATTTAGAATAAAATGACAACAGAACAAAATTTAAATTTATTGTAACCTACTTATTTTCTTTCCACTCAAATATCGACAATAGGCGGCGTTATTATGCATAAGTAAAGAAATTTGACAATATAATTTTTAAGTTATAAAATCACAATCAATTTTGATTTTAAATTAATTTTAAACAATTATTTTATTTGACCACAGATTATTAGTTTCTTATTATTCTTGTTAATGATCATCATTATTACAATATTTTACAAAATTTGTAGGTATATAATTTTATAACTTCATAATATTATACATATATGTATGTATACATTATACCTATCAATCAACTATGTAACAATAAGAGCAAAGTAATGAAATAAATGAGGATGTCGATGAGGAATAATGGTATTTTTAATAATACAAACTTTATACATATTTGATATTTACCTATATTACCTACCTGAATACATAGAATATTTACATACATATGCATAAATATATTTATGCCAATATTTAGAAATCTCTTTTGTAACTAACAAATGGATGAGACTTTTTTAATAACAACATAAACACTAAAATGAAAAAACAAAAATTCAAAAAAAAAAAAAAATAATCACAATTTGAAAAAGGAAAAAAATAAACTTTAAACAAACTTTAAAATTGAAAAAAAAGGCACACGATTAGCTTTTATTTCTATATGTATATATATATATATATATATATATATATATGTATGTATATGAAATCGTAAGTATACCTTTGTATACCAAAATATTGGAAATACCATCATAAACCAAAAAAAAAAACAAATAACATTAAATTCGCTTTTCATGTAGCAAATATACACACCTACCTACATACATAACACACACATAACGTACATAAATAAATAAAAAATTGAAATTTAAAACTTAAAAATAAAAAGAAAAAAAAAACAACAATATCAACAATAACTACTACAATACCACACATAAAAACAAGAGAAAAACAAAAAAAAAAACAATTTTTTTTATACACAAACCCATGTGAATGTACTCAATCGGATACTACCATAAAAACATAAAAATCTATGCATTCAAGTTTTGCGGGCGCAGCACTGTATATAAGCTTAAATGGGCCTCATCACGATCAGTCTTTGTAAAACCTGCTTTCACCAAAAATCTTAAATTTAAAAAGAAAAAAAATAAATAAATAAACAAAAAAAAACCAAAAAAAAAAAAACTCTATTTAAGTGCAGCATCTTAAAAATTTTATCTTAAGTTCTACAATAAATTTATAACTGTAAACTTGTCTCAAGTTATTACATAATAATTATAATAAAAAAAAAATAAAAAATTAACAAAAAAAAAATTTTGAAATAAGAAAAATGAAAGTAATTGTAAGTGGAATTAAAAATTGTTACTTAACAAAAAAAAATATTAATGAAGAAAAAAATTGATAATATGGACCTTAAGGATAATTAAATATTAAATTTTGCATAATATGTTAATACACACAAATCACATATATATATATATATATATATATATATATATATATATATATAATTTTAATATAAATTTTAATTACATACTCGCAAATAATGTGATTTTTTTCGAATACAATTTTATAAATTTGTCTGATGCTATTTAAATATAATCAAGTGCAGTTATACATTTAAAGAATACAATTAATTTTAACATTTTCTCATTAGAATTAAATTTTGTGAATTCCATTAATATAAATTAATTCGATTAAATTTTGTTATCAAATTAAATTTAAAATAATTATTAAAAATAATTTCTTTACAAAAATATAATTTATTCCAAGTTGAATACTTAGAAAGAAATATCAATTAAATTTAAATTATTTAAATTCAAAATCAATATATTCACATTTATTAATTATAATTGATAATAATATTATTAAACACTGCGCCACCTATAAATCTGAAATTAAATTAACCCTTATGGTACGGCGTACATTTATATTTTCGAAGAATTTTAATATCGATATTTTTTTATTGTTTCCAATTTTTTTTTGATACTTTTTAACTTCCTTTATGAAAATCGATTTTTAATTATTGAAAATCGATGAAAATCGATTTATTAATCGATTTTAAATTATTGAAAATATTATAATCCTTCTAAAATTCATAATTAAAATTTGTTTTTCATTGAATTTTTAAATTATAAAAAATATTAAATTATTTTAAAAATTATATTATTAATTATTCACAATAATTTCTCATAATTTACTTAATATAACATTTGATCCTATTAAAAATATTTTAATTTACTTAAAAAAAATTCTTCATTTTAGTTTTAGGTGATTTTTAAATTTTTTAAAAAATTGTCTAAAATTTTTCTTTTTTAGAATTTAAAAAGAAATTGAATTTTTAAATAGTGGAAATTAATTTTTATTTTTCTTTTTCATTTACTAATTATTGCAATTTCAAGCCCACTATTTTAATACTTTCAAAAAAGTTATATTTTTTAGAAGTCTTCCTTCCTTCCCTGTAAAACAATATGTGAACAAGCACAAATTTTCTAAAATTTTCTTAAAAACCACGTGTCACCGAAACCATTAGCTCAAAAAATATAAAACTTGAAATAGCGCCCTATGACATGCAAATGTTTTTTTAAATTGTTTAACGAATTCTTGAGAACATTAGAAAATTTAATGAATTATAAAATAAAAAAAAAACAAATAAATTTAATATTCTTCTTTTTCTATTTATTTTCTTTTCTATACAGTTTGTTATTAGTGCATTTTTATTTGCAAGCTGTTTAGCTCAAGAACATCATAAAGATAAAGAAACAACAACATGGATTCCTATTTTAAAATATAATAAAGAACAAAGTGAAGATGGAAGTTATAAAACACAATATGAAACTGGAAATAATATTGTACATGAAGAAGCTGGTTTCTTAAAAGATTTTTCAGAAAGAAATCCAAATGGTGTTTTAGTTCAACATGGTCAATATTCATATGAATCACCAGAAGGTGAAATTGTTAATGTACAATATACTGCTGATGAAGGTGGTTTCCGTGCAACTGGTGATCATATTCCAACACCACCTCCAGTACCAGAAGAAATTCAAAAAGGTTTAGATCAAATTTATGCTGGTATTGAACAGAGAAAAAAAGAAATCGAAGAAAGAGCTAGAAATGATCCAGCTTTTGCTAAAAAATTAGAAGATCAAAAATTGGCACAACAAAATGGTCAATATATTGGAATTTTAGAAAATTTATAAATTTTAAATTAAAAAAAAAAATCGTGGAGGAGTAAAGATAAAACATATAAATCGAAATTTTGCATGAAGAACAAATTAATCTGGAATAGGAATTTTTTTTTATAATAAAAAAAAAAAACAAAAACAATTAAAAATTATGAAACAAAAAAAAAATACTCTTTTAGGAGCCTTGAATTAAGACTGTGATTTCCTTTAAGATTTTTTTTATATATTACATACATTTATGAAATTGTTAAACTTTCTCTTGCTCAATTTGCCATTAAACATTGTTTACGATGAAAATTGTAAGGTTTTATATAATATAATATATAAGAATAAGTTCTTTAATAAATAACGAAAATTTTAAAAATTTTTTCTTTTATTTTTTGAATAACATTTTGAGATTATTTTCAAAAATTATTTTTATAATAACTTTTTATTTAATTATTTTCAAAGTCTCTACCCATTTAGAGAACATAAAGTCGTTTCAAGTCATGCAAGATCATATTTAGGAATGAAATTAATAATTGTGAAACAGCGGAAAAATTTTTTATTTAATTTTTTCCATGAATTTTCAAGATATTTTACATAATTTTGAATTAGCTAATTAATTTTTTAAAAGGTAAATTATTTGCAATTTTGCCAAATTCACACATAACTAATAACATGGTTTTCCATGCTCAAAGTTGAGTTGAAGATAATTTCAATTTTATTGAGTAGAGCAAAGCATTTCAATAAAAAACAAATTTATTTTGTTGGAAATATAACTCAAACACAAAGCAAAGAGCTGATTAATTTAATAAGCTTAGTAATAATTAAGTAAGCTTAGTATAAAACTACTCATGTATCTGTTTACATTTTCATTTAATGTGAGGTGGATCAACGGCCCCGTCTGAAATAAGGTGAGAAACCCTAAGGTTAAGTTTAATTCAACTTTTGAAGAAAGAAAAAAAAAACTGAACTTGAAAGTAAATGGAACTTCCAATTTTTATTCAAAATAGATCAGCTCATTTCAAAACTAGAGCTAATGAATTTAACCTCTTTGTATATTTCCTAAATCCATAATTGTGAACTTATACTAAAAATTTGAAGATTCCATTGTGAACTGTAGTAAAATATTAGTCGTCGCTAACCTTACTCTTCTTATTTCAAGTACCATCAGACTTGACATATTATTTATGTTACAAAAAATAAACAAGAAAAAATTGTAAACAAACCTCAAAAATTTTTTGCTAACTAAGATCCATGGTCACTAATGTCACACAAAGATAAGGTAATTTCAGTATTATGTTTTTTATGTAATCAATGTCGTCAACAAAATTTTATATTGTAATTTTTATGTAAATATTATTTCAAAGCAAAATCGCCAATGAGCAACATTTTAGTTATTAGAACAACTTTTTCAAATGGAAAGATAGCTGTTAAAACTTTACTTAGGGAGTACTTAAAATCAAATCAGCATAATGTTCATATTAGGCATTCATCAGAAACTCCAGTCCAGGTTTTGGAAAGAAAAATTTCTGAAAAAAAATTACTTCCTGATGCATATCAAATGAAAGCAATGACTTTTTTAAATAACTTGCATGAGCAATTGCTTAATTATACTCCAAAAATGAGAGCTGCAGAAACTCAAGGTGGCTTCTTTTCAATTTTTAAAGGGAATAATCGTAAAGATCACAATCGAGTTGAAACAGATGCCCCTAAAGGAGTTTACTTGCATGGTGGAGTGGGAGGAGGAAAAACTACCATTATGAATATATTCTATAATTGCTGTGACATGGTTAAAACAATTTTTTAAGTAATTTATTAAAATATTGAATAAGAATTTTAATAATTTTAGGTACCGAAAAAACAAAGAATTCACTATACATCTTTCATGAACAAAGTTCATTCTCGAATTCATGACGCTAAATTGGAGATGAATACTCGAGCGAACGATAAAACACCTTTCGATCCCACATTGCCTGTAGCTAATTCAATAGCAAATGAATCTTGGCTTCTTTGTTTAGATGAATTTCAAGTTACTGACATTGCTGATGCTATGATACTTAAACGTTTATTTACACATTTATTTAATAATGGAGTAGTACTTGTTGCAACTAGTAATAGACCACCAGATGATCTCTATAAGAACGGGCTACAACGCAGTCAATTTCTTCCTTTTATTCCAATGCTTAAATCAAGGTGTGAAATTGTAAGTGTAGATGGAGGTGTCGATTATAGACAGTTAGCTGCAAAAGGAACTGGTGACGGTTACTTTTTTGTGTAAGTAGACTAATATAGAACATAAATGCCTGGTATACCTATATAAACAAATGTTCACAATTTGAAATCTTATTTTGTAATAGTAAGTCAAAAGTGAATGCAGATCAAGAAATAGATAGAATGTTTAAAATATTATGTACTCAAGAAAATGATACAATTCGTCCAAAAACTATTACTCATTTTGGAAGAGATTTAACTTTCGCTAAAACTTGTGGTCAAGTATTAGACAGCTCATTCAGTGAACTTTGTGATAGAGTAAGCAATTCAAACAACATTATCTATTTTCGAATTTTGAATCTATTTAACACTTTTTTTAAAGCCATTGAGTGGAAATGATTATATTCAAGTTTCACAATATTTTCACACCGTTATTATTAGAGATGTACCAGAATTGACATCATTACTTAAATCTCAATTTAGAAGATTTGTAACACTTATAGATAATTTATACGACAACAAAATCAGAGTGATTATATCATGTGATGTATCTGTTGAGGAATTATTTGTACTTTCATCACCAACCGACTTATCCGATGAACATAGAGTGTTAATGGATGACTTAAAAATTGAACATGGTTCGGTAAGTTCACCTAAATGTATAATTCTTTTGTGAATCACACATTTGAAATCGCTTACTTTAACAGCAAGAATCCGCTGCAAGTGTTTTTACAAACTCGGAGGAAATTTTTGCCATTGATCGAGCACGTTCGCGCCTCAATGAAATGCAAACGCAACAATACTGGCAAGAAGCTGGTAAAGGCCGATAAGAATTTCGAAAATTTCGAATTTAAGCAATTTAAAAAAGCAAAATTGTTAGTTAAAATTTTTGCCCTAATTTCTAAAAATTTTATTTTGAATTTATTTTTTGACTAGCTATATACATACATATTTATGAAACAAATTAATTGTAATATGTTAACTATATTAAATATTGTTATTAACATTTTTAGTCAATTATTGGTTTTTTATTTGTTGAAACACTAACTCATAGTATACTTACATTAATATTGTATCCTCAGAAAATAAAAATTATTGATAATTTTGCACAAGCGTAAAAAACGATTCCTAAAGGTAATTTTGGTCGTAATTTTCTTCCAGCAAATTTCAACTATGTAGGTATGTTAATTATTTTAAATTTTATGGACTAAATGTAGGGTATGGCAATAATTATGTTAAAAAGATCGATACTCGAAATTTTGGAATTTTTAATAATACCTAATAGGTTAAGTTATGGTTTTAGATGTTTTTATTTATTGATAAGGTTTCCTAGCATTATTCTTATCACTTCTGACTGACATCTCAGCTTTCAAGATTTAAAAGATTTTTTTTTGGGTTATTATAAGTTTTAGCGAACTATATTTAAAACAAAATGCACTGCAATAAGCCAATTCCATTTGGTAAGATTTTTTTTAAAAAAATCATTTGTCTACATACTAGTTAAATGTTTGAACACTATCTTTTTAAATGCTAGACGAAACGTTATTGGAGGACTGCTATGTTGAATGTAGCCAAGCTATTTTGAGAGCAAAAAAGTAAGTTTACTATTCTAAATTATAAAAATGTATCTTTGGTTTATATGAGTATTTTTATACAAATAGCATCATATTGAGAGGTCATGTTAACAAGGAAGAAGAACCAATATGGGCATTAAAAGCACTTACACTAACAGATTTAACAACACTGGCTGGTGATGATACTAAATCAAATGTTGCAAGACTTTGTCAAAGAGCTGCAAATCCCTTTACTTTAAACACTTTAAGCAAAATCGATTCCAATATACGTCCGAACATTCATGCAGCAGCTGTTTGCGTTTACCCAGGTTTGATATAGATACATGCATACTTATGTACTATTCCTATATTATTTCCTATTCCTATATTAAATGATAAAATCTAAAGTTATGAAAAAAGCGAACTCTTGATCCTCCCTATTATAAATGGAGTTTTCAAAGTTATAGACATTATAAGTTTAATACAAATTTTTATTTTTAGCTCGTGTTTCTGATGCCTTTGATAGTTTAAAATGCCTAAAAAAATTAAATGTGATTCAAATCGCAGCTGTAGCAACTGGATTTCCTACGGGTCAATATCCTTTAATATCAAAACTCCAAGAAATTGAATACGCTATATCAAAAGGTGCTACAGAAATTGATATTGTGATTGACCGAAATCTAGCATTGAATGAAAATTGGGAAAAACTTTACAATGAGTTAGTTGAAATGAGAAAAATATGTTCCAACAAGGCTCATATGAAAACTATTTTGGCCGTAGGAGAGCTTGGCACTATGACTAATGTAACAAGTTCTTAAATAAATACGTTAATTCATAAAATATTAAATTTAATATTCCAGGTGAAAAAAGCATCAATGGTAGCGATGATGGCGGGATCTGATTTTATTAAAACATCTACAGGAAAAGAAAGTGTAAATGCCACCTTGCCTGTCAGTCTTGTTATGATAGAAGCTATTCAAAAATTCCATAGAAAAACTGGTATAAAAATTGGTTTTAAGCCAGCGGGCGGCATAAAATCTGTTAGAGACGCAATTAATTGGATGATCTTAGTTAAAGAAACTTTAGGAATGGAATGGTTAAATCCAAACTTGTTCAGATTTGGCGCATCCAGCCTTTTTGATGACATCGAAAAGTGTATACTTTCCGCATTCGAATGTTAATTTTAGAATACCAATATGTAATACGTTCGCACAAAAATTTTTGATTATCTACTACAAATTTTATTATATCTTTCTTACAAATCTAGTTAAATTGCAGGTTAACAAAAAATTAACAATAAATGTATATTTTATACACATATTTTTACTCATATCTACAGTTTTTACTTAAAATATTAATGTTGCACTTGAAAACCTGTTTCTGCATTAGAAGAATATCTTACAACACTCATTTTTCCACTATCATCTACGAAACCGTATTCACCTTTTATGCTTCCATCATTTCTTCGTTCCTCAAATCGGAAGTGCCGGTCTTTTCTAGAAATAAAATATGCAGTGACAAATGCGATCTAATGAACTACATTTTTCGTAAAATTAGTTACCCTTTACCAGTATCATATCCAAATTTATAAGTTTTTGGTCCGCCAAATCCATGCATTTGATATTGCAATCTTTCATTTTTGGAGAGAATATCGTACACATCCCTTCTTGATCTAGATTTTACTTTTTTTACTTTTGACTTCACTGTATCTTGTTGGTTGTTATCTGTTTCCGGTACAGGGGGATGCAAATCAACATTTTCGTAAGCCCCATAAATAATATCGTAGTTTCCTCTTGAATTTTTATGATTTGTTCCTACAATTGGGATCCAGTCGTAAGACATTTTTGGAGCGACGAACTCAGTAGTCGAAGACAACTCTTCTTTGAGATTTTTTTCAGGAATAGCTTCCCTTTTGATATTTACATGTTTCACTGTTGAAGAATATTTCTTTGGTACTTTTTTCGGTTTAGCCGAATAATAGTTAGGTTCGTTTGATTTTTCTGGAGGAGATATTTTTAACAAGTGCTTACTTTTTCCATCAATTTTATCGTCTTCATAAGCCATGTACAGTGGCATGTAATAACCACTACTTTCATCTATTGGTGGTAAAAGTTTTTCGTCAATTTCCGCAGTTTCAATGGATGTAGTCGTGGTTTGAGGTTGAGATTTCAAATGTTTATCGAACATACTACTTGCATATCGTAATAAGTAATCTAATCCTTCTAAATTCAAGGTTTGAACAGGTCCAGGATTATTATGTACATAACTTTGATGAATTAAATCAACTGTTGCTTGTGGAAGTGCATTTAAAACAGCCGGCGAACAAATAGCTGAAAGCTGATAAAAATATTGTTAATACATAATGTACACATATACATACATATGTCTTGCATACTTCTAAATATGTGCAAATTTTTTCAAAACAAAAAGGTTTACGTACTTTTAAATTATTTTATTCGGGTAATTAATTAAAAAATAAAAAGACAAGTTTTGATCTTTAAATAACCTATGATAAATGCTTAAGAACACCTTGCCTTATTAGCGGTTCAATTTCTGACCTCGGAAGATAATGTTGACTATTTTTTTTGAGAAATACCACATCACCATTTTCCATTTCAAATTTACCATAATCCTTTAAACATCGAACCTCAACATAAAGAGTTTTTGGTGGCTTCAAATCTGAAGTGAGATCTATTCCAAAACCATCACCAATGCTACGCATATAATTTGCTAGCGATTTCGAATAATTATTAAAATACATAATCTCTGGCTCACATAATGAACTTTTAATGTCTGAAGGTATAACTGGACCGAATTCCCATCTTAGTGATTTAATTTTCTCTAAACGTTCATTTAAATAAACTAATAGACATCGTTTATTTCGCTGTAAGGCTGCATGTCTAAAATTCAACAAAGGCCATATGTTTCTATCCCCAGATGTAGAATAATTTGCAGCTTGTTCACAATTTTCTTCATACAATATTTTTATTTCCTCTAAAACTTTACGAACTCCCTCGTCATCAAATTCTGGAATAGTGTCTGAAGATCTTTTGAGAGTTTTTATTAAATTTAAACCTTTTTCACCCAACATTGTGTATTTTATATTAAAAAATTTATTGCTAAAGTTTCTATATCTAAATTGGCGCCAATTTGATAAACAAAAATGTACTAGCAATGTAAAATAAAAATGTTGCAACTCAAAATAGTACTATCTCAGTAAATGGATTTTGATAATTGTAATAGTGCTGTCAAAATATAAAAAACATCAGATTGCCGCACCACATTACAGATAAAAAATTATAAATTCACAGCTGATTCCCATAGTTTTTTTTTTCATTTTTAGCTTTATTTGTTTTGAGATAAACATATATCTCAACAACTACGAAATTAGACTAATAATTGTCTACGACATAAATACATACAAATTATGACATACATTTTCAATAAACTCGAATGTCAAACAAAATCTAATAGATATAATGAAGAGCGTCAAAGAATAAGTTCAAAAATACTTTACTCTTCTTCATCTGATTCTCTTTTGTTGGCTAGTTTTTTATAGAAATGTTTTTCAGTCTAATAATCTATGTTTCAAAACTTCAACTTTGTTCTTGTTTTAGCTAAATATTTTGAACAATGCGATTTTTTAAATTATGAAACAAATCAATTTTCTCGAACAGTAATAAATCAATTTTCGACTTCAACTCTATGAATTTTTAATATCAATATTCCTATTATAGCAATAATGGAATTGAAACAAGAAATCATGAATATTTTATTATAGAGTCTCGATAACGGTACTAACAAAATAATTGTAATAATGAATTATATTTTGACTATTAATTATTTTATTGCTAAATATGTTAAAAATTTAATTAAATAACAATATTTCGAAAAAATTTATTAAATAAAAAATGCTGGTGTTTTTACTTTAAATTCATGGATTATTAATAACAAAAAAAAACATCATTTTAAAATTGTTTTCGTGAGAGTTAGAGAAAATTTCTTAATTTCTTAATTAATAATTATATTGAACAAAAAAAAAAATCAAGTTTATCATTTATATTAAAATAAAATTTTGTTCTTTGCACTTATTAATGAATTTTTACCAAAATTCGTGAAAATATTTCAAAAATTAAAATATTATAAATTGCATTTTTGTGCATGCTGTATACATATGTGAGTAACAAACGCTAAAATATTTATTCAACCGTAACGTGAAAGAAAATTGTTATAAAATTGTTTGTAAATTTTTTTTCAATCTTATTTATTCAAAAATTATTTCACTTAATATTTAATTCAAACAAGCAAACGTATACCTACATATACAATATAATTACGAAAGTGAATGCAATTCCATTTTCTATATTAATTGACAAATTATATGCTATGGGGGAACAATAAAATTTTCTAGCATCAATAAATTAAATGATCATTTTTTAATTATTTTAAAAATATGAAAATAAAAATTACAAATTTACAATTTTGAAAATTTAAATTTTTTCACATTAATCTTGCAATCTTGCATATTCATAACTAACAAAGAAATATTTTTAATTAAAAAATTAAAAAAAAAAAACTAAATAAATTTTAATATTTTTCATTTTTCAAGATTAATTAAATCACAAAATCTATCTTTTTGTTTCATTATTATTCAAAATAACCAAAATGTTTATATAAAATCATAAAATAATATTCCTTTATTTAATTTTATAAACTCACCATAAATATTAAAAACGATGACATTTTTCTTTTATATTATAAATAAAAGAAAAAAACAAATTCGAAGAAAAATTATACAATTTTAAATAATCCAAAAGATTTTCCTATTTTTTAATCCCAGATTAATAAAATATTTTGCAGTATCCAACGAAAAAACTTAAATAAAACAAACTAAAATTTTTGCCATGCATTGCTATTTAAGAGAACTCCCCTAAATTATTATTATAATGTTAAAGTTAAAAAGTAAAATATAAGAAAAAAAAAAGGCGAAAAATACACTTTCAATTTAGCAATGGTAAATTTATATGAAAGTGAAAAAAATTACAAGAAAAAATAATACAAAAAATAAGAAAATAATAAAAAAAAATTAAATGAAAAATAAGGAAATTTGTAGTTAAACCTGTCAATTTTAGGATATCAATTTAAATATACACGAATGTTATATGGCAAATGCATTTGTAAATTGTACAAAATTTGTTTTAAAATCCATAATTTTATAAATTCAATGTTGTTTTTGTTGAAATTACAAATTTAACTTAATAATACACGACCTCTGTATTTTATTGTTGAAATATGCAATGACAAATATTTTAATGTCAGTGTGTATGAGTATTGTCATTTTGTGTACCTGATTCTCTCTTTTAATAATCGCTTGTTTTAAATAAAATGTAAATATTTTTTAACACTATGAACGCCGTTGTATCAGCACTGATAAATATTTCAAATCGTATTCAAAGGTCATTTTTGGATTCCGCGCTCACCGATTAACATAAAAAAAACTTATTTTGAATTTCATACATGTACATATATACATGTATATCACAGGTGTGATCCCTAAACTCAAAGAAACTACCAAATTAAATAAATTATACAACATGTCTTAGTTGTTGTCTTCTCTGCCTAAAATTAAATTTATTTTACAGTAGAAACTAAATTTATTTATTTATATTTATGATATTGTTCTACATACAGTTATGAAACTTAAGAAAAAAAATTTTGGCTAATAAAACGTATATTTACCGCAGTGACACCGTGCCGTCCAACAGTGTTTTTTTTAATATTCACAAGTAAACACATGGAATGAAGAAATATTTTTCTTGAATTTTATCACGAGTTACATAATTTTTATTAAATATATTTGCAATATTATAATTAGTGCATAATTAAATTTTTATTGCAACTTGTGTGAAGGTACGAAGAGAGCATTACAAATGTACTTCAATTAGTATAACATACGTAAGTATATTGTGTGCATAAAAATATACTAAATGTTTTCGTGTAGATAATATGAAAAAATACACAAAACAATCAAACTAAATAAATTTCATTTATTTTCAACTTTATCTTCCATGTGAAAATTATCAATTTTTCTTTCTTTTTTCTGAGGAAAAAAGCGGAAATTGACTATATAATAAAAGAAGAAAAACGAAAGAGAAATGTTAAAATGTAAGAAAAACGGCAAAAATTAAAATCGAAATACAGAGGCAAACAAAAAATAAAAATCATTTGTTTGCGTATAAAAAGGTATACAAACAATACAAAATGAAAAAAAAAACCTGTTTTCACAACTTATATAATATTAAGTTTATAAATGACCAAACATAACTTTAAGTATTATAAATTTTTCTTTTTTTATTTCTTATATATTTTTCTTTTCATTTTTGTGTAATAAAGCGAAACAAAGTTTCCTGATCCTAATTTAATGACCTTTTGATCCGCTTCTTTTTATTTATTTTTCTTCTTAAAGTACTTTTTACTCTTTATATGTTAATTTATGTACATATTATACTTATGTGTATTATGTACTATTTTGTCTACGATAAATATACAAAAACTAATTAATAAAAGTGCGACATCAGGTGACAGTAAAAGATGAAAATCTATCATTGAGAAATTTTTTTTAATAAATTTATAATTTTTAATAAATAATTGCCTTTATGAACATTTTATGCGACTATTACTTTACGGAAACACGAATTGTATTTCTTTTATTAATGAGGTAAACTCACCTCTCTTGCATACCTTATTATGTAAACGTACTTATTTTCTGAAATACTTGATCCAATAATTTTAGCAATAATTTGATTAATTAGTGACATAGTCCTACACTTGGCATATTAATAATTTCTCTACATTTTTATAAATAAGAAAAAATTCAATTTGAACAGCATTCAAACGCCATCTGGGTTTGCCAATTTATGTTATTGTATGCGATTCAAAATTCAATTAAGCTACATAGTAATTAATAAACGCAATATTGAGGGTCATTAATTTAATATTCTAAATAATTTTCATTTGTGTGTAAATTTGATTATACTAAATTATTATAGCCAAAAACAAGCGAATGTGGACTGACAAAGGATTTTCATATACGACAAAAACAGAAAACTAAATAACCATAGAGTAAAATAATGAATATAATTATTACAACACATTTTATTCATAATATTTAGTAATCACCATAAAGTATTAGGAAATTTTTCTCTCATCATAAATAATTGAATGTGTGTGAGAAATTTTTTTCATATCCAAATTTAAAGCGAAAATAATAAAATTTCATTTTCAAATTCACAAATTTTAAACAAATTTAATTTTATAACTGAGATCAGGCAAATTCGCTCTTGTACCGCTCTTGTCTATGGAAAAACTATATGTACGAGTAATGCTATACTAATTGTACTTTAATAAATTTTTTGTATTATGCGAGCTTGTGTACAATTATAAATATATACATACTTAGATAGAATAGGTACCCATATGTAAAATTTTGCAATTTATATTTGCAATAGCAAACATAAAATTACTTAATAGAAACTCATAATGAAGGTGTGATTTTTAAAATTACATTATTTTGCTTTTCAATCTTTTGATTACATTTAATTAAAAAAAAACTACATAGACATACATTTTACTACATCTACAACAAAATATATAAAGAAATTAAATTTAAAAAAATGCTGAAATTCTCTTAAAAAATTTTCATATTTGGTAATGCGGATAATTTAAATACCAGATATAATAATTTTATTTACTTATATGCATAATTTAATTGATAAAAAAGAAAAATAATAATTTCTAATTTTAGGATTCATTTTACATAACAAATCTCTTAATAGGTTCAATAAAAGTTAATGACTTTTTGATTTTTTCTTATATTTTTAATTTTTAAATTATATATGAAAGAAAAATATGCAATTTTGAAAATAAAATTTAAAATACATACATACATGTAATTTCATTAATTTAGTATTACAAATTTATAAAATAAGAAATAAATAATTTTTTTTCGTTCATCTTAATTAAATTTAAAAATTTTCCTCCAACTCTTAGTTTTGTTTTTCAATAGCAAATTTGTAACATAGCTAGTTTTCCTCTGTTATATAAGCAATAAAAGGTAGGTGTACATAACCATAATATTAATGGAAATAAAATGTTCAAACGGGAAGCATCTTTATATATACTTATATATTTACATAATTAATTTGCACGTCGTTTTTCTTTTAAAGCTAAAAAATAAAATTAATAGGTGTAGGTAACTTAAATTTTATCATGATTTACATATTATGTGCAGCAACTCATGTAGTAATATTCGTATATGTGTATACGTAAAACCAATGTTATAGATTAAAAAAATGTTATTTTACTACCTGTATCTATTACCTGGTTAAAATGATCTAGATTTATGTTTTACTTTAATATACATATTTACACATACATATATACCTATGCATTTTTAAGTGGTATTAAAAATTTTTCCTATTATATATATTTTTTTTTAATTATTTAAATGTCTGCATACAAATATTAAAATGATAGTAAATGAAAAGGTAATTTTCCAAGTTTAAATTATGAACTTGCTCTTTTAACGAAGTTTTTATTATGTTTCTGCTTTTTTTTTTCTTGTTTAATATTTAAGTTTTTAGTGTATAATTAATTTGTTCATCTGTAGTGTTACCATAATACCATAGGGTATTATATAATATACTTAATTTTATTTCATTATAACAGATAAATAAAAATGAGTTGAAGTACGCATATTGCACTTATATATTATTATTCTTTACTGTATAAGAGTTGTGAGGTTGTTCGCATTTTGCTTTTATGAATTTTTAGAATTTATATTACACATAGGTAATGGTACTCTACATTTCCATTTCTGCAAAAACGAAAATCGAATAATGTTCGAAAATCGAATCGTGGAAGGAATTTCACCGATAGAATTTTTTTGGACATGTCGCAATTTTTTTTGAACCTGTCGCATTTGAATCTATGTAATAATGTTAGTTTTAATATTACTTAATTCATTGATATTTCTAAAATGAAAAAATATAATTTAATTTTTTATCTTGTAAAAATTAGTTGTTTTGTTCACTTTGATAATGATAGTCAAATGTTCATAATTTTCGATTTTTGATTAAATGTCCTAAATTTAAAAATTTTAGATTTATTATGTATTATAAAATTATTAGTATCAGGGATGCACAAAATTCAAAAATTCGATACAAAAAAATATCCATATTCCATGAAATTTGTTTTCGATCTTACCTTTCAGTCATTTCATTACAATAGTCTAAACGATTTCTAAATTTTTTTGTGATTAAAAGATATGTCATCAATTTGGTTGTATTAAATTGCATTTTTCTAACACGGTTACGCTGATCCTTTTTCCAAACCATTCAAATCGTTTCGGAAATTTTAATCGATTGTTAATGTTACAATTTCATTCATTTCAAGGACATTTTCACTTTTTCCGTATACCAGCTGTTTTAAAATTCATAAACAAATTTCTTCATAGTTCAAATAGCACATAAATGTAGTATAATATTGAAAATTATATTTTATGAATTAAATAATTATAAATCGTCATTTTTTTTTATAAAATATGACGTTGTTAAATCGTTTTTCCTTGAAATTTTTGAATAAACAAAAATATTTTTTACATTCAATACACAAAAATTTTTCAAATTTAACAAAAATAGTTGATCCTGATTCAAGTGTATCAATTAAAACGGATTGTAACATATCAATTAAACCTTATGATCTACTTGATTGCCCAGATTCAAATATAATTCGTGCAACCTTAATACATAATACAAATAAAGAAGGAAAAATTGCCGATATCAAGGAAAAAATTGGAATTTCTGTTCAAGACAAAAATGTTCGTATCGAAGATATTGGCGATACTAAAGCAAAGAGAGATGATTTTACTTGTCTGTTAGAGATACCAATTAAAGCGGATTTAAATATTGAAAGCAAAAGTGATATCAAAATAAAAGATATGTATTCAGATTGTTTAAAAGCTATAACACATTTTGGATCAATTATTACAAAAAATTTAAGAAGTACATCAATTGATTTATCAGCAATAAATGGGAATATTGCATGCAAGGGCCTTACTTTAGCTCAAAAAATCGATGTGCATGTCAAAGAAAAGGGAAATATATTCCTTGATAAATTACAAGGCGATTTATTGTACTGTAAAGCATTTAATGGCAATATTGAGGTAAATTCAAGTTACGTTGAAAAAAGTAATTTTTCATGTGAGAAAGGGAATCTATTTTTAAAAAATATTCATAAAACATCAGAAATTTTTGTTTTAAATTATGGAAACATTGAAATGAGTAAGTATATGTTTTCAGTAATAATAAATAAGTATTACTTATTTATTGCGTCCATTTTTAGGTGGAATACATGGCAATGTTTATATTAATTCAAAAGGAGGAGACTTAAATTTACAATTTTCTGAAATAACCGGTGACAATATAATTGTAGCAAATAAAGCAAAGAATGTAACTATAAATATTTCTGATATTGTGGAGACAAATTCATATATTGAATTGCACTCAAATAAAATCGAGCTAGATCCGTCAGCGAACCATTTGTCGAAATATTTGACGAAAGAAAACTATTTTGAATATGGTGATAAAAACAAACAAAATAAATTAATGATATGTTCAGGGGGTTTACTTAAATTTGGAAAAATGTCTTGGGCTGATACTGTAAAATCACAAATGGGATTAATATAAACGTAGGTACGTAGGAACCTACTTATATAAAAATTAAGACACTAGCGAACTCAACACTATTAATTTTTTACTTAATCGATATTGTTATAAGTTATTAGCTTGAAGTTAATTTATTAAATAAAAAAAGGAATAAATCATATAAAGGGTTTATTCAAAATTAATTTGCCTATTATAAGAAAAAACATTAAGATTAGCATATTTTCAATCATAGAAGTTTTAAGTAAAAATTTCACATCAAATCTTTCATTCACAGCAAGCAAAAATATATTCTTCATTCTTCATTTAATTAAAAAAGTCATCGTTGAGCTGAATTTTATTTAAAAAAGTAAAACTGTAAACTTAAACACCCATATTATCTTTTTTCCTCAATTTTTTTGTCAATATTGCCATTACAAACTTGTAATTGCTCTTCCTTAATCAATTCAAAACTCATTTTTATTTTTTCGAAGCATTCCTTTATATCGTCTTCAGATTGACCATTGCTCAATGCATCTAATAATTTTTGTATTGTTTCAGATTTTTGTAATTTAATTGCTTTTTGTGTTTGAGTGTCTGTAGCATTTTTAACCGTTCTAGTTAAAAATTCTAGAATAGTCATACACATATCTTCAGCATTAATTTCTTCCTCACTATCATTATCGCCACCCCATTCATCGTCATTTGAATGTTTATTAGATTGATCGAGCTCTATTAGATCCCAAATTGATGTCATTTGAATGAAAATATTTTCGTCAAAAGGATCTCCAACTGCTAAAAATATTTCATTTAAATTTTCAATGATTCCTTGTTCATTATAAGTTAATGGTAGTAAATTAATTGCCGAACACAAAGGGGCTAAAATTTGTGATACACATATTATTAAGTCAGATATGCTTGAATTGTAACATTCTCGTGAAACTTCATCGTACTGGGACAATATGACATTTAAATCTACAAATAACATCAAATTTTATAATGAAAAACCAAACTTTCATGCTATGAAGATGGATATTTTATGTATTTTATATTACCTAAAAATAAGCTCATAATTTTCTTAGTATTTTGTGATGGAGGTAATACTTCATTATTTTCATTTTTTCTATTTTCTGTTCCGTTTTCTTTTGGTATTAATGTTTTAAAAGCTTCAATAACTCCAGAAACAAGGTTAGGTTTGACGAAAACATCACAAAATCTTAAATCTCTCACGTCCGGCTGAATTTCAATAACTGCAAACTTTGCGCATATTGAATTGAGAGCTTCCAATGCATGAATTAATAATGATTTATTAATTGAATTTTTTAATATAAAAGCGAAATGTTCTACAAAATCTTCGGCATTCTTAAAATGTTGAAACCACACAATTTCGTCTCCAGAATTTTCAAACACTAAGGAAGCATGTAATAATCTCATTAACTGAATTAAGGTTAAAGTATCAGAACATGATATCAAGTCTATAATGGGACCAAGTATCTCTGCATTATTACAAAGTTGTTGCCTTGTATCTGATACGTTACACATATTTGCTGCCATTCCTACCAAAATTTCTGTTAATCGTCTGTCATCTGTAGTTAGAATAATACTTGAAAATACTTCCAAAACATTATGTTGTAATAGAAGCTTTACAACATCTGCTTCAATTGTCATATCCCATAGATTACAAAGATCTTTTTCAAATTCTTCATTTTCACTTAAATCTTTGTCTAATTTTGTCAATTTTAGTAATGTATTCAAAACAAATCTTTCACTGTATAAAGTGTCACCAATTGCGTCACCTTTCATTTTTTCTAGATCGTCTCCTAAAATATCAAAAGATTTATTTTAAAAACAACAAACTAATATAAAAGAACACCATATGCTAGCGATTGAATTTGCATAAATTATAATAAAAATTTACCTTCAAGTTCGGTGACATCCACTGAGGGATTACAAGCCACTTCATTTGGTTCTTCATTTTCACTTATATTATTTTCTGATGGTTCTACTTGAGTTGGATTTGTCGCTTCTGCCATTGATAATCTAAAAGTACTTTTTTTTATTCATAAATATAAAATAAAATTTTTAATAGCTCTTAAATCATGTAATATCGATTTGTAAGAATTTCGAGCACTACCAAATAAAATTGAATTAAAAATTTTGTTTACCTTTTATGACATTTTTCGAGAATCTAACGTTAATTATTAACACTCATAATTTAAATCAAAAATCTACACTATTGTGCTAAACTTTAGGTCCATTAACTAAGAGTATTCAACAAGACTATAGAATTTTTAACTTGATATTATATTTGAAATGGATAATTAACTAAATCACATAACGAAGCTATAAATTTCATTAAGTTTCAAAATCAATTGTCATTCATCTCAAATAACTTTTGAAGTTCCATACAATTCAATTTTGAAAATACTTATACATTCAATTATATTTTTCCAAACGATACTCATTTTGATTTTTAACAAAGACTCAAACCTTTCAAGGTCGTTGACACTGGTTGATAAATTTATTGATAGTCACTTATCACAAAAATATTATAAAGCATATTTTTGTGGTAGATGAATATTGATCCACAAAACTACCTTTGGACCAATAAATCTTATTATTAATTTTTTTAATATAATCCTAAAATCCAATGGACAGGATTATATTTTTTCATAAAACGTCCGCTGTTAACCGTTTTATAATTTTTTTCTACAATTTTTTATTCGAACGACTTAGCCTCTCTCTGCTTAGTCGTCAGTTTCCAGCTGTGCATTGGCTTATCAAATTAATTAGATTTTTTTGTCAACACTGTCATTGGCCAGTGATGTGTATAGCATATGTTTTGAATTTGCAAAAAGTAGGTGATTTATAATACCATAAAAAACAAAAAGTTATGTAAATAAATAAAAGTTTGATGTGGCATTCAAATAAAATGTCTTGGCCTAAAATAATTTATAATACAGCTTATATTGTAAACTAATAATAACATAGCAACAAATACTCATGAAAAAAAATGCAAGACTTTTAAAAATTCTAAAGTTCAAAGAATGTTTTTTATTTATCATCGAAATAATTCCTGTAAGCATTATGCGTTTCAAGAGATTAAAGCATCGCTTCCTTGACAAAGTTCATCGATTGAAGAAAAAAATTTTAACATGGAGTTTTGTAATATTTTTTGTAATAATTATTTTTATCTTAATGGTAATAAAAATTCCTTCATTACATGAAAATTATTTAGTAAAAATTAATTGTGAAAACTTTTTTAGAAAATTCAGACTTACCAGCAGCTGTGCCATAAATTTATTGATGATTTAAGTGCAATTGATGTCGTGTACACATGGGTGAATGGTTCTGATGACAGATTCGACCAATCAATATCCAAATATAAAACAAATTATGATATAACTCGTTACGATGACAAAAACGAGTTACGATTTTCTTTAAGATCATTAGAAAAATACGCTCCATGGGTTCGACATGTTTATATTGTTACTAATGGTCAAATACCACATTGGTTAGATTTGTCATATTCTAAAATATCTTTGATAACTCACAAAGAGTTAACCCGGCACATGGAAATTCTTCCAACATTCTCAAGTTCGGCGATTGAAACTTTTATACACCGCATTCCTAATTTATCGAAACGATTTCTTTATCTGAACGATGATATATTTTTAAATGCAGAACTTTTTCCAGAAGATTTGTATACAAATTCAGATGGGGTTAAAGTTTATAATGCATGGACTGTTCCAGATTGTGCAACAGATTGTCCATGGGTTTATATTGGTGATGGTACTTGTGATCAACATTGCAATATTGAAGAGTGTCAGTTTGATGGTAACGATTGCGCTCTAAATGATGAAACTGAAGAAAATGATGGTAAGTGGTTTTTAAGTAATATGTACATACTCGAAATTAATCTATAAATTTTAATTTATTTTGCAGATAGAATGTTTGATATGCCAGAACCAGTCTTTTATGAAGTTCCAAAAATAAACGATACCACAAATGGTTCACCAATTAGAAAATTAAAATCTATAAAAAGGAAAACAGATGTACTTAACAAAGGGATATCTTTTAAAGATTACATAAAAAAATCAAATTTTACGAGAACTTTTAATTTTACTGATGAAAAAGAACTTAAAGACTACGTTGAAAAGTTTAATTCAAAACAGAAAACTAAAATTAGAACAAGAAACATAAATTTAAATGTTGAGAAAAATTCACCAGAAAGTACATCTGATATATTTATGCATTCCTTAGTATATACAAATAAATTACTCAATCGGATTTATGGTTTTAAATCACGTTATGTTTTAGCACATGTGGGATTCCTTTTAGATAAGGATATCATTGAAGAAATGGAAAAAAAATTTTCAGATGAGATCTTAAAAACAGCTCATAATCGCTTTAGATCTCCTGAAGATATACAATTTGCCTTCTTATACTACAATTTTTTAATGAGCGAAACAATAAATAAAACTGTTAGCGAAATATTTGATGAATTTGATTCAGATAATTCTGGAACATTGTCTGACAGAGAGATAAGAACATTTTTAACAAGAATTTATCCGATTCCACTTGATTGGGCTGCAGTAAAATATGCTGAACAAGTTTTAAACAATTGTAGTAAAGTTTTTTTTTCAGACAGTAAAACTCAAATCGAATACAGTACTTTAGCTTATGAAAGATATGAAGATTCCAAAATGGTAAGATAGATTATTTACTCATAGGCAATATAATTTAAAAATTTTATTTTTCTTAAAGCCTGTAATTTCAAAAGATCTCATAGAAAATTGTAGTATTTTTAAAGAAGCTATGTTGTCACATTTTGCACAGAGGAATCGTTACAAATTCTTGGTGAATAGCAAAAGAGAAATGCATAGCAACTTTATGATGTTAAAATCTAATGTGACTGATGTTATAATTTCTTTAGATAAATTTAGAAGAAATCCAAAGTAAGTCTCTTATTGAATTATTTCTTAAAAAAATTTTAACCACCTTGTATTATTTGTAATTCTAGAAAATTTAATTGCATTAATGATAATTTAGATTCAAACATGAAAGAGGAAAATGAAATGGTACGAAATTTGTTGGAAGATTTTTACATATCATTTTTTCCACATCAGAGCAAATTTGAATTACCAGATCATTATCGTAACAAATTTTTATATATGGAAGATTTTGAGCATTGGAAAACTCAAAAATATATCCTTCTAATAATATGTTACATAATTAGTGCTATTTTAATTGGAATATTTACAAGTTATCTTTGTGCATATAAGGCTAAATGTGCTAGAAAATGTATAGAACTTTTGTGATATCAAATTATTTATTTATCATTAATTTAATTATAGCAAATATATATGTATGTACAAAAATTTCATTCTGCAATTTTATTGAACTTATTAAATGAAGTTTATGTTCAGCTCCAACATATTATTATACAAAGTACCAAAATACCATACTAAAATACAATTAAATACCATTCTAAACAAAATAATTGAATTTATTACAAACAAAAACTTTATTTCTTTTAAAAAAAAAAACTTCTTTTAAGAAATACTTTTTAATTTTAAAGCGCATTTTGAACATAAGATTAAAACAATACAATAAATTTTTTTATATTTACTATAATTTTAATATAAACAACTTTTCTATTCCTTAAAAGATTATTAGTAAAAATTAATTCCTTTTCCGTTTCCAAAAGTTCATGCGTTTGCAGTTATATTGGCAAAAAGAAATCTTAACTCTTGCTGTAAGAATTCTTGTGGCAAGGGTAGCATTCCTAACGTCATTTTTAATATTTTATTGGTGTTATCATCTTGCCAAGTTAATAAAAATGTACGAATTAAACAGGTCAATTTTTGGGCCATTTCACTTTGACACAACTTATGTTTGGATGTTGGACAAGGAAAATGATTTAAACGGGAACATATCTCAGAAATGATTGGATTAAGAGAGTTCCATTTTGATTTCATATCCTTTTTATGAATTAACTTTGACATTGTAAGCTAAAAAAACAAAAATGTTTCATTAAGAAATTGAAAATAGAAAGTAAAAAATCATTTTTATACCTGTGTACATATATTGATGAAAGATAATATTATATGACCTTCATTAGACCAATTGGGTATCTTAAATTTATTATCTATTTCTGATAAACAATCACAAATATATTGAAAATTTTCATTGATGATAGCATCTGGTACAACGTGTCTCATTAAAACTTTATACGCAGAATGCCATTGTTCTGCTTTTAAAAATAAATCTGTTTGTAATTTATAGTTTCTTTGAATACCAGCTCGAAGAGCTTTTGTCCAATTAATCCATTTTTCTGGGACACCTAATCGATTAATTATGAATTTTTCATCATCTGTATATTTCTGTTTTGGTTTTAATTCAATATTACGATATAGTAACTGTTGTATACTCATTTCTCTTTTATCTCTATTATTTATATGTAATAGAACAAAAACTGCCCATGTCCAAAAACCATAATTTTCTAATTGAGCTGCAAAGGCTAAATGAAGTTTTTCCAGATTCAATTCAGAACAATGGGTATAGCCAATAACTTCTAATATTTGTAATATTAACCAACTAATACTGCAATCTAATAAATCTGATGAATATGTTAAAGGATTAACAATATTTTCAACTGAATAATTGCGTTTGGAATACAATTGTAGTAAATGATATTTTATATCAAAAATATCCTTAAAATGTTTATACAAATCATAATTAATATGATCTGGTTTTGGTGGTACAACAAGAAAATCATCTGATTTAAATATCTTATCATATGTATTAATAACATCCATTATACTAGAAGTTGGGAGTAATAGATACCATAAGTGTACAGCCACTACATTTAGCCACTCAAGATTTTCTAGTACATCAACTGGGCCATTTTTTGTTGACATTACTTGCGTTCCTACAAAAATTATGAAAAACAAATATTCAAAATAATATGAAAAAATTTTTAAAAGGGTTTTCTTACCAGACAATAACATAAATATTTTTAAAATATTGTTATCGATGTGTTCATCAATTTCAAATTGCTCCCATGTCGCAAGTTGGTGTTGAATCAATTGTCTTACATCTTCCCCACTAGAAATTTGTGATATAAGTAATGCTTGAAATGGTTCATCGTTTTCAAAAGCTAAATTTGCTGCCTCATTTACTTGATGTGTATATAATTTTTCTAATATAACCTCTGATCTGTTTAAATTATCAATATCTTTTGCAGATTTTTTACTTTGGGTTTGTTCTTCAAACCAGTTTGATAATAAACTTCGGCGGCTCATATTAACATGGTGACTGGCAACATCATATCCTTCAAGTTCTTCATGATTACCCCAAAGAGCCAAACATAACTTCCAAATTTTATGAAATTCATTTTTCTTATTTGAAACATTAACGTGTAATTGTAAAAGTTCTAAATCACCACCACATTTTAAATGAGGACAATCACTTAATTCAACCTCTTCTCTTACCGCATGATCAAGATATATTTCTAGATGTGGTATTATACATTTATCTTCCATTATAAATTTATGATAATTCACTTCAAAACAATTAATCATTTTTATTGAGTTATGAACTTTTTTTTTGTTTTCTTCACCGTTTATTATAACGTCATTCCTTGTTGGCGCCATAAACATATTTAGTGTGTTAAATGAAACTTTAAACCTGTAACCTGTCATTAGAGCTACATCTGCAAGACATTTCCCTTCATCCTTTAATAATATTGATGATTCTAGAATGATTTCATTACTATTAATTTTATTTGCTGCAATTTTGGGTTTTAGACGTAAATCTTCTTGTTTGATAGAAATATCAATTTCTGGTTCTTCTACATTTCTTTTTTGAAAAATTTCGTGTAACTTAGTTGAAGGAGGGTGAAATTCAAAATTTGTTCCGTTGTATTTATCATGTTGGGGCGAAAAATCTTGATCGAAAATTTTTTTTGATAAGAATCGATCAGTAGTTTCATATGATTTCTCTGATACAACGGATTCAGTTTCCATGTTGGAGTCAACAAAAAATGATGCTTTCATTAATTGTAATTTATGAGTGTCGGTTGCTGGTTCCTTATGTGAAGTATTAAAACTCATATTCCAATTTGGACTGCTTACTAAGCCACCATTTTCTTGAACTGATTTAGGCTTTAATGATTTTTCCTTTTGTTCATCTTGGTTGGTTTCTTTTTTTTGAAGGGTGATTATTGTTTTGGGGTTTTCTATATCCTTATTTGTTTTTAATTTTTTTGTATCTGGCACAGCATCGTCTTCCTCATCCGTGTCTGTTAAACCATATTTAGAAAAATGTTTCACTTTAAACACCCAACTGCCTGTTTCAGGATTATACTCTAAAAATCGCATATTTTGTTTATAACAAACATTTCTTAATTTTCCTTCATAATTCATTTCCTTAAGTCGGTCTACGTCTTTGATTGGTTCATGCAGAGTTTTATCTACCGGCCATACCTGAAAAATATAATTTGTTTTATTAAAAAAGAAGTTATTTTTACAACTTATCAAAATTACTTGATCTAATGTTACTTGAGCCTCCCTATTTAAACCTTGACCTTCTGGAGGCTTGCAATCATCATCAGGATATATTGTGATTTGTTTATAACGTATATGAACAATTTCATCAAAATTCATATTTGTTATATCTATAGGTTGATTAAAGAAAACGTTGCCGTAACGTTCTCTTCCAATTGTTAGGGTCGGAACCACACAGTTACCATATTCATCCATATAAGACTCTAATTCATCTATTGATGGTATCATATAATATCCAACTCTATTTAGTATTACTCCGGCTGGATTACTTGGTCTGTCATCGTTTAATTCTTCCGCACTTTCAATATTTTCACTCCTATTAGCTGAATTATTTCTTTCATCGTTTAACAAACTTGAATTATCTATTGTTTCATCTGAATTCAAGTCGGATTTTGTATAAGATTTTTGATTATTTTGTGAAATGTCCAAATATGTAGCATTCAACCATGAATCTCTCTTAGATGAATTTTTTTTTGTTTCAGAAAAGGAAGATGTTAAATTTTTATCTGGCGATGTTTCGTTAACTACATTTGTTATTTCTAATGATTTTTCTCTATGCACTTGTAAATTTTCTTTATTATGTAAATCAGAAGTAAGTGATTGATTGTGCTCAGTTTTTGGTTTTATTATTAATCTCTTAGCATTGTTTTTTAATTTGAAGTTATCGGCCAAAGAATTATCGAAACTTTCTAAACCATCAAAAAGTGACTTTTTTGTAAGGCTATCTGCGACTGATTTTGTTTTTATTCCAGAAGAAAACTTACTTTGAACTTTAAAATTATTCATTGAATTTTCTAAAATTGCTTTTTGAGCTGTAGGATTTGTTGGTTTTAATATTTCCAAGTCAAAATTATTTGAAAGTTTCATATCTTTAATTATTGGATTTTCTCCGTACGGTAAAGTGGACATTGCTAAAATTTGTTGATGTACTGGAACACTGGCTTGTTGTTGAGTTTGCCCTCCCAAAAATGAAGATGTGTTTGTTAATCCAGAATTGAATGTCGGTAAAGTGTTAGTATTGCTTAGTAGGTTGTTAGTTCCAAAAATAGAACCACCGCCTAAAGTATTGTTTCCAAACAGACCACCTGGTTTTGTATTGGAAAATAAACTACTTTGACCTGTATTTGCGGTGTTCAGCCCACCTCCAAGGGTTGCACCAGCTTGCGAAGTTCCAAAGCCCCCAAAACCGGTAGAAGGAACTTTATTCATGCCGCCTGCATTAAACAAGGATGCATTTGTATTTGCTCCAAATGTACTTGCTCCAAATGCGCTCGTAGATGTTGGATTCGAAAATCCTGTATTAGTACCAAACCCTGTCGGTTTTCCGAATAATCCTGCACCAGATGTCGTAGTTGAATTATTTCCAAAGCCTGAAAATCCAGTATTTGATGTTGCTGACGATAAACCAAATGCACCCTTATTGTCGGTTGTTGTATTTCCAAAAAGTGAAGGTTGTGTATTTCCTTGACCGAAAGTATTGAAGCCTGGCGTTTGACCGAAGCCCGTAGATGTTTGTATCGGATTTTGACCAAAAAGATTTGTTCCTCCAGGTTGATTAAAAGCTGGTTTTGCCCCAAAAGTATTATCGGTTGAACCAAAACCACCAAATGTGTTCGTTCCACTGGTAAAAGGTTTCGAAAATAAGCCACCTGTGTTTTGATTTTGCCCAAAGGTGGTTGCTGTATTTTGACCAAATGCACTTCCTGTTCCTAATGTATTTGCAGTACCAAAAACCGATTTATTATCCGTAGTTTGACCGAAAAGACCAGTTCCTTGTTGTGTGTTCGTTCCAAACAAGCCAGTTGAACCTGATGGCTGACCAAATATATTTGAACCTCCTTGGGTTCCTTTCCTGTTAGCTAAATAATCCTCAAATCGTAATTCTTCAATGGATTTGTTCTCATATTCTTTCATAGCAGTTATACAATGTTGTTTAGTGCTAACGTTGTTTGGTTGGCCATTTTTTATTAAGGTATCTGTTCCAATCGAAGGCTGGTATTTTGCAATTGAAGTGCCTGCATTGGCTGTTTGATTAGTTTGCCCAAATGCAGTACCTGCTGAACCAAACACACTTGTATTTTGATTTTGCGTTCCAAATGAGCCAAAACTTGATGAAGCTGCTGTTGTTTGACCAAATATTGAATTGCTGGGCTGATTTTGATTGAACCCAAAAGCAGGTTTCGGTTGAGCTCCAAAAGCATTTGTATTATTTTGTCCAAAAAGTGTTGGTTGAGTATTTTGTTGTGGTGTTCCGAATAATGTGTTTGATGTTTGCGGTTGATTGAAACCGCCAAAAGTTGGTTGAGCAGCAGCAGTTGATCCAAATGTATTTGTTGTGCCAGTATTAAAAAGTCCAGTAGAAGTTTGCGGAGTTCCAAATAATCCTGTGTTTTGAGTCCCAAATGCTGATGGTTGTCCAAAAGTAGCAGCCGGTTTTGTAAATGATTGACCAAAAGGTGAAGTCGTATTATTTGTTGTGCCAAAAGTTCCAAAGCCAGTTCCCGATGAAGACGCACCAAAAGTATTTTGCTTTGAAAACATTTCTCGATGTAATAAAAATAAATTTAAAACAATTTACAATAATTATTAATTCCACAAATATAACACAATAAATAAATTTTAATAAACAACTTTTTAGCGTGATACTTCAAGTGTATGAGCAAGATTGAATAATTTCACAATATTGATGCGATATTGTTGACAATCAAAAAAGTATCAATTTATATGATCCCTGAAATAGTGTTACCAACGGTAATGGGTTCAAAACAATTTGATTAGTCAAAAGTAACCCAGAATTAATATATACTTCATAAATGGATCAAAAATATTGTCTCCCGCAACCCTTATTCGTAAATTCAGATTTTGTAATTTACTCCAACTAGTTAAACAATTTAAGAATAAGGTGCCAATTACAATCTATAAATCTAAGATATAATCTAAAATAAAATATTAAATTCCTCTAAAGCCTTTATGCCAAAATTTTGACTGCAATATTTCAAAATTATGCAATTAATTGTGAACATGAAATTTTAAACAAAAGTCAGCTAATCGCAAAATTTAACTCAAGTTATTTTCCTTTTGAAACCTGACAGAAAAACTAATCATCGGATAATTTTTTCGGATAAACGGATATCGCAAGAGATTGAAGTTTAAGCTCAAATTTTGAAGCCCTGAGAAAAATGGAGCGCATTTGAAATTTTGACATTTTAAATGTCACTGTGTTGTCAAAATTAATTTGACGTTTTAAAAATAATATATTTGTGGAACATTTTCAAGTTTTGTATTTATTTGATTTGATTTCAAAAAGTAATATCTAAATTATTGAACGAATTAAAGCAAGCTGGAAATATTAAAAAATCAATAAATTCATTAAATATTATTGCTAATTAAATACATTTATAAACTTAAAGTAAGTATTGTTTTTTTTATGTTGCCGGTTAAGTGAATTATGACGTGTCCTTTTTGTTTAATATAAGATAATTTGAATAACTTTCAACATTTTCAGAATGATTACGGATGTTCAACTTGCAATTTTTTCAAATGTTCTTGGAGTTTTTCTATTTTTGTTAGTGGTGGCCTACCATTATATCAATGCCAATATGGGCAAGTAAGTATGTTAAATATTTAGATACTGTACATGGAATATCATAAAAGTACATGTTAAGCTGTATACACTAATTTTATTATGTGCCTAATTTAAAAAGATATTTTATTTGCTTTTACTTTTTAGGCCGCAATCTTCAGGAAATATACGCAAATGAATTAATGTATTAATTCTATGATTAGCGTAAGCAATGTAATTCATAAGGTTCTTATAAGAATAAATTTACGAAGAATAAACTAATTTTTATGAAAATTTGAGTCTACTTTATTAATGTTAAGAAAGTTTTAATTCTAAATGCATATTTAAAATTTGAGATGACAAAGCAGAACATTAATGGGAGGAATAAATACTTATTTTTCTATAACATGAAACAATTCATTCAATGTAAGCGAGATTGTAAACATTATATACCTATACGTAAATAGGTACTTTTACAAAATGTGTATGTACATGTGTTTGTTTTATCTATTGATAAAATGCTATCTATTGATAAAGTAATAGGAAGCAATTCTTTTTCAGTTTGGTTTTAAAATTTACTAGCAAAGATGAAGGTAGGCACATATTTATAAGTTTAAACTAAGCAAATAAACCATTTACCAAACAAGATGGAAATATGAATTCAGGAATTCAAAAAAATCTATAATCGACATTTTCAATTATTTTATGGATAGTGTCATTATTCACACAATCACAGAACTGGGAAATACAGAAATAATAATAATGCAATTTAAACATTAAGTACTTATTAAAAGAAAAGCATAGGTAATATAAACTAAAAGGTAATATGAAATAATAGTTTAAAAATCCTGGTCTTAAATTATATGATTTATTATTGATTAAACGGCTTCTAAAATCTCACAATCTAAGTGACTTTACATTCTTATGAATTTAGTTTTAAATTTCATAAATGTACCTACATACCCAGATTTGATTAATATTTAAGTAAAAATTATCAAGGTCATTTTTATAGATATTTAAATGGACAGTTAATGTTTTAAAGGTTATAAGCATTAAAAAATAAGCAAGTTGATTTCACTAAAACCAAACTTTATATCGGCCAAAATGATAACCTAACTTGACCTTACAAAATAAATAAAAAAAAATTAGATTTGTTAATAAAATAACAATACATGTTTTAGGAGTGTTGCAAAATTTTAAAAAAACTGTATAAGATATAAACTAAACATTCAGTTAACGCTGGTGTATGTAATTTATAGGACTTGAAATTCGAAATAGAAATCATTTTTCTAATGAAAAAATAAAAGAATAATAAAATATAAAATATCAATAAGATGAGATTGAACAAATGTTGCATTTGTGTAAAATATCTTATAGTAGTTTTGAGTATCTTACTATTAATAATTGGACTTTCTTTCATTATTTGTTCAATATTGATGTTATATGATCCAATTTTATTATTGTCAATCATAAATCCGATTAATGATTATTATTTTGGTCTCAATGTGCTTTTAGCAGCTGGAATATTTATTTTTATTGGAGCATTTTTGGGTTGCTGTGGTGCTTTTCAGGAATCAAAATGTCTTTTATCAGCATTTTTCTATATTTTATTTGTAGTTTTGGTGGCACAATTATCAACTGGTTTCTGGATTTTTCATAATAAAGAAAAATTTGAAAAAACAGTACGAGATTCAATTAAATATTCAGTTCAAGAAGAATATGGATTCATTAATTATCGTACTGTAACTTACGATATACTCCAGAGAAATTTGAAATGTTGTGGAATTGATGGTCCTAAAGATTGGGCTTTTAGCAAATATAATAATGTTAAAAATGATACTGTATTGAATATTATTTTATCAAATACATCATCATTTTATAAGATTCCTAAATCTTGTTGCAATGAATACTTAAATCAAAATGAATGCGATTTAGTTATCTTAAATAAACACGGAAATCTGATAAATTCTAAAATTAATCAAATAGGATGCATTGATAGAATTATTGAATTCTTAAATATATATTGGATAACTATTTTATCAGTGATGATTTTTATTGTATTTTTAGAAATTTTAACACTTTTTTTATCTCTTAATTTATGTTGTGTATACCCTGAAAAGTAATCATTATTAATATTAAAAGATAAAATATTAAAAAATAAAATTTTAAAGCATTTTAATGTAAGTATTTTGTTTATAAAATTATAAATTAAAATGAATTAAAACGAGTATTACAAATTTTATAGATTATAAAGTAATGAATTTTCATTGTAGAATGGCTGTTTTACAACTGAAAAAGATTCTTAGAAGGAGCTAAGGGAATCTGTTTTTACTTATTTTAACAAAATAGAATTCTAATTCTAAATTAAATATAAAATAAGAATATATTATATAAATTTGAACAACATATATATTATTTACCCATAAATTTCAATTTGACGAATTCATTAGAAATGCTCCTAGATTTTGTAAGAAATGCAAAATCTAAAAAAGAAAAATACATTGCGATTGCGATATTTAGTATTTTGTAAAAGATTAAGCTATTTTTATTCTAAAGCTTTTAATAAATTGCATACTATTAAAAGTATCTATTTTACATATATGAACATATACGCATATAACATTTATGTTTATCCGAAAAAAAAAGATAAGCAAAATTCAAATTCATTCAATAAAGCAATTTGAAGGATAAGGATTTGAAAATAAAGAATAAAACCAAACAGCAAAGGATAAAAAACAAAGAGGAAAACAGGTAAATAACAAAAAAAAAAAAAAAATAAAGAGCACAAAAATTTTTCACTTAAATTTTATGAATGAATTTTCAAATTCATTCTGAAAATTTATAAATAAATACAAATACACAAACAAACATTGTAATTTGAAAACTGAAATGTGAGTTTCGAGTTTCTCTGTATATGTGCTGTTTGTACCCATATTGTATTTTATTTATATAACATGCATTTAGCACATGTATATATTATTTTGAGTTTATTATATGTACATGTAATAACAAAAGCATGAAGATAAAGATATAGGAAGATGAAATATGTCTATTTTTATTATATATTTTTGAAAAGTTCTCCCAATTTTTATAGGGCATTTATATATCTTTTTTATATAAAAATCAAAAGCTCCTTTTTTATGATATATAAAAGTAAATGTATTGTTTTGTATTTCATAAAAAATTTATCCCGAATGTTTGCAAAAATTTCTAAAATGAAAGAAAATTAAGAATAATACATAAGGTAAATATAATTTCCTTTGACTAGCTTCTCTTATATTGCAGACATTTCTATTTTGTTAATGTATTATGTAAATATTTTGATGCGGTTTAATCGCCCATATTTCAGCATTCTGGAGTATATGAATAAAATTAAAATTTCACATTCTCCGGAATCTGAAATTCAAAACTGATTTTTAAATATTCTCCCATATTCGAATGTTTCAAATCCATTTTCGAAATTCAAAGTTAATTGTCAAACAATACAATTTTAAATTCCTGGGAATAAAACAATCAGCTGGGAAAGATTTTGATGTAGAATTAGCTAGCTCAACAGTAAGTAAAATTTTAACAAAAATATTAAATATTATAAAAGGAAATTCGTGCAAGAATTGCCGACTGATGAAGAAAAACTGCATTGCAAATATTATTTTTTTTTTTGTGGAAATTTTTGTATACCTGGTGTAATAGGATGTATAAACGGTACAAACGTAAAACTGGCGAAATGCAAGCTAGAAACTGAGTATTTATTCTCAATTATATTGAATACTTAATTAATAATTGCGATATAATATATTAATAACATTTTAAATTCACTTAAACTAACTATAAGTATCTATGCATACGAGTATAAAATGTCTCAGTTTTTGGGGTCAATCACTGATTATATCAAATTTATATATACTTTCCCTTTTTTTTTATATATGTAGGTATTTCCTTTTTAAAATCGGGAAATAAAAACTTCTACCCTCACCTCTACCCTTATCTATATGTATTTTATTTTTTTTTTTCACGAAGCCAAATAAAAAGAATATACGAAAAGCTTTTCTTTCCTTTTCCTTATTTACTTATATTCTTCCCATAACATTCTGGGCACAACTTATAGCTAATATAAAAAATTTTAGCTTGTATTTTTATTGTATTTATTAAATGTTATAATTCATTTGATTTTTAGTATTAAAATAAACGTTCTACCGGATAGGTCGCAAAAAAAAAAAAACTTACAAAATCGTGAGAACGATAAATGAAAAATTTTTGTCAACAAAATAAGAAAAAATAAAAAAAAAGAATTTATTTAATCGAATTCTTCGCCGGTTTCTAATTTTTTTTTCTTAACGGTATTTTTTTAATAACGGTATATTAACAGTATGATTGTTTGAAAATTTTATAAAATAAAAACTCATGTTTGTTTTTATTTCTAAATTACACTTTGGCTCTACACATTTTAACATTTTATTGTACAATATTTTTAACATTATTTAAAATTAAAATTCAAGAAAATTTAAAAAAAAAAACAAAAAGGTCATTTATTTCGAATTTTCTATACTATTCAAATTTTTTTTAATTTTTTAAAATTTTTTTTTTTTAAAGTTTATAGTTCACTAATTAAATATTTATATGTGATAAATATAACAAAAAAAAAACAAAGAAAATATAAATAAATAAATAAAAATAATTGAAAAATAAAAGAAAATAAATTAAATTTGAAGAAAAAAATATATAACAATTTTAATTCAATATCGAATTGTTATACACAAAGTATTTAATTAAAGGGCATAGAACATTATTTAATATGAAATTTAATTTCAATTAAATAATCAATTATTTCAATTAAATTTTAATTATTTAATATGAAATATTTAAATTTAATTCATCCTGTTTATTTAATATTTATACTATATTTATAATATATTTCAAATTTAATTAAATTTAAAAATTAATAATAAAATTTCTTGTACTCAATTTAATATACAAAATATATATGAAGTGTGAGGCAAAAAATTGAACCTTTTCTTGAATTTTTGTTCTTTAATTAATTTTAAATTTTTTTAGTGAAATTTCAGAACTGAATTTTTTAATTATAATAAAAATATTTCTTTAAAAAAAGTTTCTATAATTTTCCAATTTTAAATAATTTAATTTAAATTTATTTTTTTTTTATTTTGTTTAAATTAATTTTTAGTGTTATTGACTTGAAAAGGTGATTTTTAAATGAATGCTTAAAAATAATTGTGTAAAACCCTCAATTTTTTTTTAATATTTCATAAAGAATATTGTGTTAT